CCAGGCCTCCTCCTACCATCAGGAAGCTGACAAGATAGCAAAACCCCACACAGTAACAGCACAGATAGCCGCTGGAGCCACTGCTCTGCCAGAAGCTTCTGCCTCAGGTCACTCCCTCCATACCAGTCAAGATCCTTTGAGAAACAATTGCCATGAGGCAGAGAGAGAATTTTCTAAGGTGTGTGTGTGTGTGTGTGTTCTGTGCTCCTCCAATGCTAGACATGCAAGAATGCACTTTTTAAAACTGGGTTCTGGGGAGCAAACTTGGGTCATAATGCTTGTGCCACAGGCACTGTAAGGACCCAGCACCTCCTCAGCCCTGTAAACATGGCTTCCTGTAACTGTGATACATTTCACTCTGCTACACTCATAAAAAAAGAACTGGTTTAGAATAAATCTGATGGGGAGGAAGTCAACCCAGTGGCCAGCCAGTTTGCTGAATTAAAGATCTCTCGGGCACCTTTATACTGCTTCCTGACTGCCTGCTGTGGATTCCTTTACGCTGTGTGGTGACTGCCTGCTAAGGAAGCTATTACAGGCCCAACACTTTTATCCTAAAATCATATTGTTTTGTTTTTATACGGAAAAGAGTGATTATTGGTGACAGTTACACTTTATCAACACAATATCAATCTGGGGACCACATGCATTCAGGATGCAGGCCCTGCGTGATCAATGGATTTAATTGGCAGGTTTTCTTCATCTTTTCTTGGCTCAAGATTTCACCAATGTACATATTTTTGCTAAGTTTCTGAGGCTTTACCACATAGGTTTGATCTCCCCTGAGGCAAGCTTATGGCATTTGAGGAAATACTGATAAAGTTATTAGAGGGAGATGCCATTGTAAACCAGGAGCTTCCAATGCTGGCTCTGGTGTGTTTGGTAGAAATAATGAACTGTAGAGAGTTTCCTCCATTCACAGTAATTATTTTTAATAATTCTGACCATCCTAACCTGTCGATGGCTGGGTTTCCAGGAACACTGGAAGCCACGGAATAATCTTTGGCAGAGGATAAACACTAGGCTTGTGCTTTTAGCAGATTTCTGTAGCTGTTGAATTGGACTGGGGAGTGGAGTGAAATGGAAGGAGGGGGTGTAACAGACTTAAGGTCACTGTGTTAACATGGCAGGGACCGACGAGGGCTGGACTAACATGGTAGCAGACAAGTTGATTAAACTCTGATTCTCACAGATAGAGCCAAACCAAACGCTAAGAGGGAGACTGAGAATCCCCATGCACGAAAGGGCAGAACTGCAGTCCTAATTAGATGACTGGCCTTTTCTGCAGCATGAACTTTATAGCGAACTGAAGTCTGTAGTTTAGTCCACTTACCCTGGAGTTACCTGCAAGGTCAAGAAAGTCTACAGACTACATCCCAAATTCTTGATGGTTTAGACAATGAAATTTGTCTAAAGCAAACTGTCGAATAACCAGTCTTCCAAAAATTAAGAAACAAACCCCTTCTCCCCTTTCTCCAGGGCAGGTAGATTTGCAGTTGGACATCAAACATATTCATGGCAGAAGCAACCAAGCTTCTGTGCCTTCCTCCCAAGGTAGAGGGCATCCTTTCTCAGATAGACATTCTGGGGTTGAATTGCCCGTGATATTTTAGTAAAGAGAGAGAGACATTGTCAGAAACGCAATTGCATCTTCAAAATGTTTTCTTTCCGCAGAAGATCACCCCCTTTGGAGGTGGAAAGTTTTCTGCATAATTTTGTCAGCCGACACAGATTCAGACTATGAAAAGATGACATGTTGTGTCAGCTATGAAAACACGGCTACATTCTAAACAAACACAGACTTTCCCCTGATGCATCTTAAATCTTCAACTCCCGAATCCTGGGTGGAGAAAGGAATGATGGCTCTTGCTTCTAAAGTCACTCCAATTTCCTTCTTGTTAAATGTATTGCCGCAGCAACACTCTAGGTCAGCACCAAAGGAAGGAAGGAAATCTGTGGGCAAAAGGGCACCGTACAACTCAAACTGTCTGCTTATAAATACAAATGGGTTTCTGGATGTCATGAATGAAGAGAGAAATAAATGGGAGGTATTTTAATCCATTTTCTGTTGCTGTAGCAAAGTATCCAAGAATGGGTGATCTAGCAAGAGTGCTGTTTTATTTGGGATCTGAAGCCTGTTTCAACATGTGCTCAGTGTCTGTGGGTCAGGGCAAGTATTATCGCACTGTTTCTCTTTCTCCTGATACTCCTACTTATTTGTGTGTGTTCATGTGTGAGTATGTGTATGTGTGTATATATGTGTGTTCATGTGTGTGTATTTATGTGTGAATGTATATGTGTGAGTGTGTGTGTATGTGAATGAGTGTGTGTGCTCTCATGTGTTCATGTGTGTGTTCATGTGTATTTATGTATGTTCATGTGTGTGTGTGTATGAGTGTGTTCGTGTGTGTTCACATGTGTGTATGTGTTCATATGTTCATGTGAGTATGTGTGAGTGTGTGTGAGTGTGGATGTATGTTCATATGTGAGTGTATGTGAGTATATTCATGTATGAGTGTGTATGTGTGTTCATGTGTGAGTGTATGTATGTGAGTATGTGTGTGTATATTCATGTATGAGTGTATATGTATGAGTGTGTGTGTGTGTGTGAGTTCACGTGTGTGAGTATGTGTGTGTGTGTGTGAGTGTGTGTACCGTGGAGGTCAGAAGTTGACATTGGGTGTCTTTCGTGACCATTTTCCACCTTGTTTTCTGAGACAGGGTCTCTCACTGAATCTAGGTTGGCTGGCCAGCCCTGGAGATCCTCTTGTCTCTACCTCTTCAGTGCTTCATGTTGTTCCCAGACTTCCTGTGGATTCTATGGATCTACCTGAAACCCACATGCTGGGATAGGAGGACACTTACCTAGTGACCATCCCCAAATGCCACCACAGCGACTTCACCCTCGTGGTCTCACCCAACCCTAGACACCTCCCACAGCCTCATTCCCAATGCATCAATGGCTTGGGGATTAAGTTTCCAATGCAAGACGTTTTAGACAAACACTCAGACCAATAATTGTAGAGGGACCATCACTAACTCAGACTTAGGATGAGATCTTCGAGCCTAGAGACTTCTGAAAGGGACTGTGTTACAGGAAATACCTACTGTCCCAGTTTAACTGGAACCATGGCTACTGCTGTCCCATGGTTCTCAGGGTCCTGAGTCTCCTGGGAAAGTCATCCATGTAGTATAGCCGTGTCCCCACCTTCCCAGGCCCTGCACAATGAAATCCCTTCCAGAGGAAACAGTGATAAGGGAGTGGACATCAGGCAGCCTCTGAATGACCAATGTCCACTCCAGGGGCACCTTTCAAAGAGCTTTTTAGAAGGTTCCTTGAGTTGACAGAGCTATCCAAACTAGTTCACTCAGAACCTCAGGGTTGATATTTGTATTATTTACTTTTCTTCTTGCTAGGAGCCAACACTGACCAAGCAGCTTAAGGGAGAAAGGCCTTATCTTGGTTCTTGGTTCTTGGTTTGAGAAAACACAACCCATCATGGTGGGGTAGGTAGGCCACAGCAGGGGGTCCACAGCAGCAGATGCATGCAGCTAAGGCTCCTTATGTTGCTATGTAACAGAAAGTATAGACCTGACAGGAAGCAGGCTGGATAAACCTCAAGCCTCACCCCTGTAGGCATAATGTTCTTGTGCACAGCTTAAAGATTGTGTTTGTATTATTCAGATGCTGATATCTCCATCCCACTATCTGTTTCAATTCAGACATGGTGTTGTAACGCTTATGTTAAGAATCTCCTGTCTCAAGTTTGTGTAAACAATGCCTGTCAATGAAAGCTGGAAAAGGCAATAGAGAGAATAGTTGGGGCATCCAGGAGAAGAAAGGATTCTGGGGTGAGTGAGGCAGGAGACTCAGCCAGGAGGAAGGGCACATTGTCAGAGCTCAGCTGGAGCATGGAAAATCCTAAGTGCATTATGGGGATTTTGCTGGGCAGGGGGTGGGGCCTAGCAAGATTAGATTAGAAGATTAGATCAGAATCAATGTCTAGCTTCTGTGCTTTTAAGTTGTAAATCTATCTTAGTTTCTCTTTGTCCTTATTTGGGAACTAGCTAGGTTTGAGATAACCTGCCATTGTATTTATTTCCTGCACACATTTATGATAAAGTTAATTGTTACATATCCCAGTGACCCACTTTTCCCCAGGCAGCTCCACTCCTAATGTCTCCACACCTTCCAGAAGCAGCTTTGCCTGCTGGGGACCAAGTACTCAAACACTTTGGCCTGTGGGGACCATAGCAGTGCTGTAAGAGCTCAGAGAGAACAGGAGGGGCTACAACAGGGGCATTGACAAAGACACACACACACACACACACACACACACACACACACAACTTCATGATCGAAAGGTACTGATATGTTTTAGTCGAATTTCTACTGTTGTGATAAATCACCATGACCAGGGCAACTTATAAAAGGAAGTGCTTAACTGGTCTTATGGTTCCAGAGGGGTAGAGCCCTTGATGGTGGGTAGGGAAGGCATTGGAGGCAGGAACAGCTGAGAGTTCACATCTCAAACTACAAGCGGGGGAGCCAAGAGCACACTGGGAACCTCAAAGCCTATCTCCACTGGTGTGTCCCCCCAGCAAGGCCATACTTCTTAATCCTTCTCAAACAGTCACCAGCAGGGGTCCAAGTTCTCAGGATTGAGAGACTTGTGGGGCACACAGCATTCAAATCCGCAAAAAGCAGGGAGAGATTGTTCTACTGTCATGCAGTTAAATGTTGATTGATATATTGATACTGGTAAGCTGCTAAGGCTAGAATTTGACTTTTGCTTTGCTTTGGCTTGTTTGGTTCTGAGACAGGGTCTTTCTATGTAGCTCAGGAGAGAGGCCTTAGCCTCCTGAGTGCTGCCTTTGAAGTCTTGTGACACACTTAGCATCTTTAATAGTTTCTGTTAAAATTTTGCAATACCAACCTGCCAGTGAAGAAAGAAAGATTGACTGGTTGTTTGTTTGTTTTGTTTTGTTTTGTTTTTAAGATTTCTGGGGAGATTTCTTGGTCAGGAAGTTATTTGCCTTGCACACATGACGATCTGAAGCTGATACCCAGAACCCATAGCAGAAAGCCAGGTTTGGTGGTGTGCTGCATGCTTTAAATTCTAACACTGGAAGGCAGAGACAGGAGGATCCCTGCAACTACCTGGACAACTGACCTAGTCTAAGGTAAGCCCCAGGCCAGAAAGAGACCTTGTCTCAAAAAGCAAGATATCTGAGGAGTGACGTCCAAAGCTGACTGCTGTCCTCCATACAAATGCAAACACGTGTGCACTTGCACACATGTGAAGATGCACACACACAAAGAAGTGTGACAGTTTTGACACCACTGTTTTAGGCTCTTTTTTCTCTCCTAGGGTCTCATAGACCCAAGAATCTTCATAAATGTTCCTGTAATGAAGACTACTTGTGTTTGAACTGGGCTTTTTCAAATATTTCACGGTTATTCTCTTGCCCAAGCTCTGTCACCATATACTACATAGGCAGACAAATTGTTCCCATTTTACAGATTGTGAATGTGACAGTTGAGGCACTTACCCAAGGCTAGAGTCTTCACTTTGGGCTCAGTAGCCTTGTCCTTACTCTTCCTATGGCCCCTGTTGCTATGAGTTTATATTTCCCATAACTCATCTCATTTAATTGCTTCTTCAGAAGCATATAAAATGTAATAAAATATATAACTACAATAAAGGGAGAAACCCATGTTAGGACCTTTCATCAATAAATATTACTGGGTCATGCTGTGGTGGTTGGGAACTATCTTGGCTGTGATAGAATGCCCCAGAGTGAAGCAGGTCAGAACATTTGAACAAAGGCTTCTGGGAGGTTGACCTGAGGGTGCAAAGGCTTCTGGGAGGTTGACCTGAGGGTGCAAAGTCTTCTGGGAGGTTGACCTGAGGGTGCAAAGGCTTCTGGGAGGTTGACCTGAGGGTGCATCTTCATGGCTCTTCCATAAGATCCCCCGATGGTCTTGATTCACAGTCCCCTTAGCATCTCAGAAAACCTCAGATTCAAACAACCTCATATTTATGCCCCAACGTCCTAGGTACTATTTGATTTTTTTTCTTTTTAAACACAGCACATAATGAAGTCGGACTTGGGGGATGATGGCTGGAGCTATTTGTGTTTCTTCCTAATGTGGCCACATTGAATAACTCTTTTCCTCCTGCTTTTCGCTATTGATTTTCCGTCTTTGATTGGCTTATTGAGAACAAGCGGCCAACCCTGGAGGACACAGGCTGTGACTCCTGAGTCTGGTGACAATATGACCTCCACGGAGAGATAAAAGACACACTCTGAGGGGTTTGCCACTCGAAGCAAACGGACCCCGGATGGCGGGGAAAGGTGGATGCTTCCAACTGCTGCTTGAGTCATTTCCCTCCAAGGACGTTGTCCATCTTTCCACTTCAGTGGCATCAGATAAAAAATTTTTACCTCCTCTTGGTGAAGCAGAAAAAAGAAATGAGTATTTGGACGTTGAATCCTTGAGAGAGTCTGACTCTTGCATGTTAACAAGACCTCCAGTGCGTCAAAAGTGACAAGAATGGAGGTGTTGATGCCCAAGGACCTGCCTGGGGAGGTTTTCAGCACCCTCAGCTGTCGTCTGCTGTTTTCTTTATAACTCTAAAATTTAACCTTTCCAGAATGTTGGTATTTGCCTGGTCTCATGTCTGCTGTGATGCAGCCCTTCTTGCCTCTCATCTTAGCTCTCCCTGCCGCCCTGGGTTCCTTTCCCTGCAGTGCTGGGTCCAGGGCTTTCTCTCAGATTGATGCTCAGAAAGTGTTCTCGGAGACTCCACTGTACTGTCATTTCTCCGTTTTCATCGTGTTCTCAGAACTTGTATATCTTAGTCAAGCTTCTGTACCAATTCAATGATCTCACAAATTACATCAAGCACACATTCATTTTTTTTTTAAAAAAAGGACACATAAGTGACAGTAAAGAGCTGTGTGTTGCTGTGTGTCCCTGTCTGTCCCTGTGTGTCACTGTGTGTGGCTGTGTGTCACTGTGTGTCCCTGTGTGTCACTGTGTGTCCCTGTGTGTCCCTGTGTGTGGCTGTGTGTCACTGTGTGTGGCTGTGTGTCACTGTGTATCCCAGTGTGTCGCTGTGTGTCACTGTGTGTTGCTGTGTGTGGCTGTGTGTCACTGTGTGTCACTGTGTGTCCCTGTGTGTGGCTGTGTGTCACTGTGTGTCCCAGTGTGTTGCTGTGTGTCCCTGTGTGTCCTTGTGTGTGGCTGTGTGTCACTGTGTGTCCCAGTGTGTCGCTGTGTGTCCCTGTGTGTTGCTGTGTGTGGCTGTGTGTAACTGTGTGTCCCTGTGTGTCACTGTGTATCTCTGTGGGGCAGAGCAGAAATCCTGTCACTGCCTTTACATTTCTTACTCCACTTCAATCCTCTCTGAAACACTTTGTGCTGTTGTTTTTATCGTAGTGATAAATCTGAAACCCAACTTCATGAAGACACAAGATCTCAATCTCCCGCTGACACTATGTCCTCTTTTAAACTACCAGCTTTCAGTGGTTCTCAACCTGCCTAATGCTGTGATCCTTTAGTACAGTTCCTCATGTCGTGGTGACCCCCAATCATAGAATTATTTCGTTGCTACTTCATAACTGTAATCTTGCTACTTCTGTGAATTATAATGTAAACATCTAGCATGCGATCCCCCCAGGGAGTCTTGAACCACAGGCTGAGAACCTCTTGCTTAGAGCACATTTGAAGGATTTTTCTGAGTTTCCCTCAAGTATCTAAACCATCCCACTGCGCTCTGTATCCATCTAGGCCCCCTGTGTTACCTCAGCAGCTTCAGAACTGTTCTCCGTCCTGAGGGTGCACCAGTCACAAGTCCCTCTCTAGGCTCCCACCATAACACCTCCCGTGTCATGCAGGAGCAGGGAACGTGAATCTCTTCCCCAGAAATTTTCTTGCTTTCTCCTTCAGAGACTAGGGACTGGCCTTCCTCATCCTGCTTGCCTTCTGGCAGTGAGAAGCTTAGAGCTGCATACCACTATTCTAACATAGCAAGGACGTGTGTGTGTGTGTGTGTGTGTGTGTGTGTGCGCGCGCTCACTGGCAGATGGCTTGTTTTCTCCTTGAACGTGACCCAGTTAAAATCATAAGCCACATGGTCCATCCCCAAACTGAGGATGCTTTTGGTGGGTCTTAGTCATCCCAAGCTTCAAAGGTCTAGACCTTGACTCATTGCTGTTGGGAGGGAGGTGCTGACGGCTCTCAGAGGAGGGCCTGACAGGGAGGTCTGGGACCTCTAGGGGACATGTGTGAAATGCCCTTCTCTTTGCTCTCTGGCCACCATGAAGTGAGTAGATGCTCCAGTTCATGTTCTTGTCACAATGTGCTGTGTCCCTGCAGGATCCAAAGCAATGCATCAACTGACCAAGGATAGAAGCTCACAGAACTGTGAGCCAGAGGAAACATTCCTTTCCTAAAAAGCCATTTATTTATTTATTTATTTATTTATTTATTTATTTAGTGTGGGCATGTGTGTGCATGCATGTGTGCTTATGTGTGTGTGTGTGTTTGTGTGTGGGCACACTCACCTGTCTATTCACATGCCAGAAGGTCAGAGGTTGTTGGTATTTTCCTCTATTGCTCTTTGCCTTATATTTTGGGAAAGGGTCTCCCTCCCTCCCTCCCTCCCTCCCCCTGAACTTGTAACTGCATCTAAGCTAGACTGGCTGGTTAGCCCCAGGTTTTTCCTGTCTGTCTCCCAGCACTACAATTAGCGATCCAACCACCACACACAGCTCTTCACGTGGTATCCGGGGCCTGGACTCAGGACCCTGTGCTTGCATAGCATGCTGTTCACCGAGCCATTCCTTAGCCAGAGTTTCCTCTTTTTAAGCTGACTGGTCTCAGAGGCCCTGTTACAGTAGGAAAGCTATCTTAGGGAGGGTATGATGCCCTGGGAGAGCAGCATGCTGCCGGTCATCCCAGACTCTCCTTGATAAAGACCTATCCAACCTCACCCGAAGAGCTTCCTGGGCTCCAATGTAGACAGCCTAGCTAGGGGAAAAGCCAGCCTGTGACTCAGAGCAGATGTGGAGAATGTTGACTAGGACTGAGTTTTGGTTCCACTTCCAATCCTCTTCCCTGAATGACACCCACTGGACCAAAGCTTTGTGAGACTTGATCTTTTCTGGAATATATAGTTATGAATAATATTTATATATATATACACACACACACACACACTGGTTTGAAAGATAATTTAGGGAGATGTCAAAGTGAATAAAATGCTTGCCACTAAACATGAGGACCTGGATTTGGACTCCCAGGACCCACCTAAAATGTTGGCCATCGCTGCCAGGTGTGGGGTACACACCTTTAATCTTAGCACTTGGGAGGCAGAGGCAGTGATAGTGAGTCCCTGGCCAGCCAGGGTTACACAGTGAGACTGTTTCATAAAACAAACAAACAAACAAACATTGCAAGACTAGACAGCATTGCCTGTATGGGCCAGTAACCCCAGCCTAGGGCTGGGCTTGGGCACAGAAATGGAAGACTCCTTGAAGCTCACTGATCAGATATAGAAACAGCTGAACTCTGGGTAGTGTGGGAGCTCCTGTGACAAGAAAGAAGGAGAGAGAGAGAGAGAGAGAGAGAGAGAGAGAGAGAGAGGGGGGGAGAACGATCCAGCAAAGACTCCAAGGTTGTAAACACAGTTGAGATTGTACATACACACACACAGGTGGGGGAGAAGGGAAGGAGGGAGGGAGACGGAGATGGAGACAGAGACAGAGAACTTGGTTCTTTTCTTGGGGTGCTGGTCTCAGTTCCAGGCCTTGAGTTTGAGGGGTACGCGATGGACCAGTTGAGATGCTGTCATTCTCTCTGGGGTCACCAGGTCCCACTCAGTGATGTCCTGAAGACGTTCTGCTTTTCTTTGGGTTTTGTTATTGGTCCTTGAAGATCTCTCTGTCCTTGCTCCTCCTGCAGAGCCTCCCTGAAGCTGTCTACTCTCCACACCACGTCCCACAGGCCCTGGGTAGTGGGTGTGTGGGGAACAGAGGACAGCTTCCTTTCTCTGTGAAGCTTATGAGCACCTCTTCAGTGCTATGTCCTCCCCATACCCCCACATCTGAGGTGGGGGGGAACCCAGCTTCTGCAAGCCCTTACCCTTCCTCATCTGCTGCCCTGGCTGTGGGAGCTTGCACTGCTCACTCTTCAGGACTCTCGTGGTGCTGCAGTGTGGGAGGTGCCTCCAGTAAAGTCTGAGAGGAAGAAAGCCTCTGTGGGCAATGGCTATGGGGCTGAGTGTCTGGCCCTTGTCCTCTGTGTGGTAGGGTGTCTGGCTCCCCTTCTTGCCTGGGTATTAGCCGGCAACTTGGAAAGGGGCACTGAACAGGGAATCAGGGAGTCAGACAGGGTTAAAGTCCTGACTTGTCATTTCTAAGCTGTGCCCTCCTGGCCAAGTCATTTGACTTCTCTGAGTATCAACTTCCTCCGGTCCTTATTGTCAGAGTGTGTCACCCATGGGCCTTCAGCTCATCCCACATGGTGAAATACCCCCTTCTCTGGAGTGAGAAAACAAGACTGCCAGGGTGTCCCCACTCGCCACGCTGCACTTGAAGCACCTGTGCGGTTTTCATCTGGGCTATGTCCTGCTTGCCCAATGGATGGGAAAAAAAAGATGCAATCCCCCTTCTGGCGTGCCCCTCCCCTGTTAGATGTAGGGTGTGGTGACATGCCTGCTTTCCTGCTGTATCCCTATTTATTCCTGCGAGCACAGGACCTCAGGAATTGGCAGTGACTTTCCCTTTGTTAATTTACCTTCCTCCCAAAGCCAGCCAGACTCCAGGGTGGATGCTTTCCCCATTTAACTGTCAGAACAGGGCAGACCTGATAGGAAGAATCATGTGGCAGGAGAGAAACTTGTTTCCCAGGCCCTACCCAAGGGGACCTGTCCTTCTGCACTACAGCCTGGGGTGTCAGGGAGCAAATGTGACATCCTGTCCCCTCCATCGGTGTTCCTGCCTGACTCACCAGTTTCTGTTTGTGCCGCACGAAGTTCGTGCTAGCTGGGTGGCATCTGGACTGGTGAGTCTTACTGTGCAGAGATGTTGCTTTTTCCCTATGCACTACCAGGACCCACAGCTTGCCCGCAATTCCCT